GCCATCGTTAGCTATGACTTCCCGCCATCTTTCTGGCAGCTTGTGGATTCCTCGTGTGAAGCTATCCAGTCATCTATCCATTTTCGTACTTCTTCTTCATTTTGAAAGCGTACTTCGGACAGGGCCATTTGCATCGAACGGAACAAGTAGTAGTCAGAAGGAGCAAGGTCTGGAGAGTACGCGGGCTGATCAAGCCGATCCCAATCGAGCTGCTCTATCTTTTGTTTGACGATTTTTGCACGATGTGGCCTCGCATTGTCATCGTGGAACAAACTTTTGTGGTGTTTTCGGGCTATTAATGGCCGTTTTTCGTTCAATGCACGTGCCAAACTGACCAATTGGCGTCGATAGCGTTCCTTATCGATCGTTTGATCTGGATTCAGCAGCTCATAATATACGACTCCTTTCATATCCCACCAGATTCATAGCATGATCTTATGGCAATGAATATCTCGTTTTGGTTGTGATGGTGCCGGTTGGCTTGGATCAACATACGCTGCCTTACGTTTGGGGTTCTCATAATAAACCCATTTTTCATCGCCGGTAACAATCCGATACAAAGAACTGTTTCTTTTGTGCTCTGCAAGATGTTTTGTGCATTGTGCATGCATATCGCGTCACGACTTTTGGATGGCAAAACGCTTTAAAGCTTGACTTGAAGACTAAATTCAAAAGTCGTGACGCGATTTTTTTCCTTATTGTAAATAAATTTTCACAATAGTGAATGCGAAAAACACTTTTGAACTTCGTTCCCAGTAATACAGCGTCCTAGCGTCACTCAAAATGATATCAGTCATTTTGAGTGATAAATCCACGCACAGGAGCGTCACTCCATTTTAACCTCGTCTAGAGGTTTTTCATCTGATATCACTACTTTTGTAAGGCTTTTTTTTCGGGAAAATACATTTTTACAGAAGTATGTCTATTTTAAGGTCTTAATATCAGGAAATTGCAATTTTCTGGGTAACACATTGGCATTCTAATTTCACAAGTTCTGGAGATTGCACTATCTAATTTCCACTACCATTGAAAAAGTCCCAATTTCCTCTAATTGCACATTATAAAATGCGGTAAAATATGATTAAATTTCAAAATAACCATAAAAAGAGTGTTGAAACGATTGTATCTCTCATTATTTCATTAAAAGATATCATTTCCCATCCACCAAAGCTCTGGAAAGTGCATTTTCTATGTATCCCCCGAGCAAAAGTTCAATTTCATACATTCAGATGCAAAAAATGCTGTATTATGACCAAAATGACAACGAAATGGATATTCAAAAGTTCGTGGACTCCCATTATTTTCACGAGAAAATAGCAGTTTCCTAAGACCAAAACGACATAAGAGGTGTATTTCACGTGTTTTCCGAACAAAAATATCATTTTCAGCGAAAATAGAGCAAGTTGAAAAATTCACTTCAATCCGACCTATTTTTCGACCATGAAATGCCCTCAGATCGCATTAGGACCACTTTTAATCGATTGCTCGTCGAGAATTGAGCCGATATAGAAGAACTTCGAAATACAAATTTTCCCGGATATATGGCATATGCCATTTTGTTGGTATGGTGGCCGGCTACAAACGCTCAGTTTTTGGTAAAAGATTGTCGGGCTGATTTTTGAGAAATCGCCTTTGGTGTGAAATTTAAGGGGGTCGATTTTTTATATAAATCGACTTTTTTTTTTTATATCACATAAACATTGGCATGTGTGTATGGAACTTTTTGAAGGTTATGAAGGTTATGAAGGTTCTCAAATGATAACCAGCTGAGTTTGCCCCATGGGCGTCTAAGTTGATCTAGTATGCAAAATAAATACTTGAAAAAATCGTATACATGCAGGCTAGCGAAGCCATAGCCAGCTCTCCTGTTATGCAAATGTCAATCTGAGCACGGGTTTTGATATGGCCCGACACCAGCTACAACTAAGGCATATGCGCATCGGAAACCGAAGAAGGTACGGACAGACGAACGGACGCACATCCAAATCAATACTTTCATAGAAAATCAAGATCAAACTGCCAATGCCCATAACTTTTTCTTTTTTGGACCAATCGGGGCACTTAGACTGGCGTTGGAAAGGTGGCGAGGGGGAGCTTTTCTTGGACACCTCAGACCACCCCCTGGGTACCCCCTTCGTAAGATATGGGTATAGATTTGAAAATTTATCGAAATTTTCCAACCGCTATATTTTTGTCTAGACCACACTTTAGGCATGGGGGATATGGTGTTTCCGACTATTCGGGCCAAGACCTTTCCAACGGTACCTAAGATGCCGGGGCCCAAATAGTGCCCTGAGAAAATAGCATACTTACTGTATATATACTCGTGACGCAAAAACTGGCATTTTTTATATTTGGCTTGAAATGCACAGTCTATGGTGCGTCACTTGTCGGACTACCGTCCTCCGTGATATGGTAATTTTATACAATAAATAGTCTTTCTCGATTGGTATAACAATTTGGTCTAAAAAGCATTGACACAAGATAACCTAACCAATACATGGAAATGCATAGATAGCCGAAATGTAAACTGTCCAATATAGCCTAACTTAAACGTGTAAAAAATGAAAGACTAACTGAAGCGTTAACACTGTAGTGACGGCCCTAATGACTGCAAAAGTCATCATTCAATTTATCAAGAGGTGATACATTGAAGAATCACCTCTTTATAAATTTTGTCTTTATAAATTTTGCTTTTTTATTTGCGTGATTTTATTTTATTTTATTTTATTAAACACCGCCAAGCTCTGGCTGAATATAATGTGTAATTGAGGTTTGGCCGGAAAAGAGTGCAAGACTGTTACATATTTAAAATAATAAACAATTAGTAGCAATAGGTTTCGACAACTATCAGTTCTCGCCTCGTTAAAAACCTGGCTCTTTTCGTACATCATGCGGTATTCACAATAGTAGGAACATGAAAACTAAAACAGTCATACAACAAGATGGAAATGCTTGATATTAGTCTATAGTAAACGGTCCAGGATAACCTTTGGTAAACGTTTCCAAAGGGACAAAGGCTATGTGAAGCGTTAATTGTTACGCGTTAAATTTAAGACTTTGAGACTGCAAAAGTCGTCACTCAATTTATCAGATAGATAAATTGATGAGAAGTTTTACGTCGGTTAAGGCAGATCCATGTTGATTGCAGAGTGCATTGAGTTGACATGGACCATGATTTGAAACGTATGGTAAATAATTCAAAATTGACTTCAAAGATAAGAATATCAACTCGCCAACTCGTGGATGGCTACAACAAAGCACAAAATCAAAAAAATAAAAATTTACAATAAATAATTTGGGCGAAAACCTCATCAGTTGCGCGTAAACCGTATAAACCGGGCTAGACGGTACTACAACATACTCTACTTTAACGCCAACAGAATCATCAGAAAACATACTCGCCTTTTCAAAAATATAAATCGGAGAAAAAACATACTCCAGCCTCAATATCACCCATAGATATACAGCGGGAAGAACAATTTTCAGCAAGAGACAATAAAATATTTGCAGTTTTGTTGTTTCTCATTATGTGAAATTGAATTTTTTCACAATTGTCGTTTACCACAATATCTTGCAGCCTGGGATCTTATCATATTTTGTTAAAAAAAAACTTTCAGCGACAGCAGGCGCGAGTGACGAAAGCACTCAGTTGCTGAAAGTCGAACTCGCCTATATATACACGCAATTTCGAACTTTTTTTCTAAGAGGCCAACTGGAATGAGTGAAGTATCGGTTGGAAGCCCCCATTCATAGGCCCGGAAAATGCATTCAAACTTTGGAATCGACCAACCACCTCCACAGAAATAGCCACTTGATAATTATGGACAATTCCCAGATTTTCCCATTTACCGGAGTTGAACGTCCACGATACCAAGGACGTCGAAATTGGACCATTCGTTCAAGATTTATGGCCATTCGAAAATTTTCTTTGGCATCTCCGCCAATTATTCTGAGATAATAGTTTTGTCTGTCCGTCCGTCCGTCCGTACTTTTTGTCCGATCTTTTTCAAACTTTCAGAGATTGAAGAATTTAAAAAATGGACTCCGTGCCCAACCCTGTCAACCGATTTCAGACTTTTGCCACATGTGACATCGTTGAAAAGGTCTCGAGGCCAGCTATCAAATGACACCTATAAGTTGAAAAAATTCAGTTGGCATAGTCTTATGGGCTGAAGACCCAAAAAATGGCCATCTGACCTTACAGAAATCAGCCATTTTGTCGAAAACGGTTCCGACGATTTTTCTCAAAATTGCCTTGATTTTAGCCCCAAATTAGAGCTAAAAATTTTACGTATGGCACATATCTGGCAAAATTCGTTTCTTCGAGATATGGCACTTGGAAGTTGGAAAAAACATGGAAAATCGCAAAAAACTGACAAAAAGTTATTTTTCTGGAGTAAATGCGTGCGCTACAGTAGTTGAATATTGATGGAAATTAATTTTACATTGATATCAATGAAATGTCTTGCGATGTCGACCATTCACAGAGTCTGTTTATATCATAATATCAAGTAAAATTGTGGAAAATTGAACTTTTTCTTGAGGTTTCAAATTTATTACGTTCATAGTCAAATGTGTCACATTCGCTGACTCTTAACTTTATTGCAAATTCTAAAAACAGTAGATATCAAATTAAAAACTTTCCCAAAGTCAATGCTCGTGCCGAAAGCGAACACAAAACGTGTGATATCAATTTTAAAAACTCATTTCGGAGCGATTTTAATTCGCCCATTTTGCATTCATCTAACTAGGTTATACATCGCTCTGAAATGATTTTTTAAAATTGATATCACACGTTTTGTGTTCGCTTTCGGCACGAGCATTGACTTTGGGAAAGTTTTTTATTTGATTGAATACACAAATAGTATTAATGAAAATTTGGGCAATAAGCAAAGTAACTGAATCAGTAACTGATATTCGGGTTAATATTAGCGTACTCATATGCATACTTCAAAATATTTTTCTTAATGAAAGTATATTATATATATTATATATACCTTTTTCACACCTCGATATGTATACACATAAAGTTCTTTGCCGAAATTGAAACAAATTTTGTCACTTAAACATTGCTGTGGCGTTTGCAGAGCTGTGTCCAAAATACCATTTACCACCGATGATGCAGCCACATTTGAAGTTGCTACCGTATTTTGTGACACTACCTGTGGACAAACAAATTCAAACATTTCTATGGTGAATGAACATATCATTTTAACTGATAAAAATATTTACCGGATTCGTAGCAACAGAATTTGTGGAGTTATTTACATTTGGTGTCGTTCCAGGATTTGATAACTTAGTTATATCAACATTTTGTTTAGCCGGAAGGAGTGAAACACGTACTTGAGGATTGTTCTGATTTGATTGATATCCAACACGATTGGGTCGTGAATACTCCGATAACGTTATGAGTCGATAGGTTCCTTCGCGTGTGATAAACTGAGTTTTCAAGTCGTCTTTTCCATTTTGATCCATCTTCTTTTAAATATTTGATGAGCTGTAACAAATATCGATAATAATTCAAAAAAAAATCTATTTACCATCTAGTTGCCATTACTTATTTTCATTAAATAACATTACGATAAATTGATTGAACACAATGCTTATTGTATGAAGTGTGTTTAGAATAGAATGTTTGATATTCGTGTTTGGAATAGATTGTTGAATTATTTTTTTTCCAATGAAAACTTGATCATTTAAAAAAAATACGTGACTTTTCATTTATACTCTAATGAAGAATTAAATTGTGTTTTGGCTTTAGAAGAAAATATGTGACAACTAATAAAAGTTTTGACGGGCTAGTAGCACAAGTGTGAAGTTAGATGTGTGTTGTTGAAATGAAAAGTGTCACATAAACTTGTCAGTTGGATAGCGAAAATATCAGATATTTTCCAAATTTCAAGTCTGGAATTTTCTTTATGTATGCTATTAAAAAAAATTTGTTCAAGAAGAAATCATTTATTATTTATATCACGGCTCAAATGGTTTATATGACGTTTGCGTGTCAACAATAAATAGACACAGAACAAAAGCGAAAAGGTAGAATGTTTGATATTCGTGTTTTTTATTAACCTCACAAAAATATTCATTTTATTCATATCAACAGTTTCTTGTGTAATCGCACTTGTTCGATCCTTTATTGTTATATGAAATGAGAGTATAGCTTAGGTAAGCTACATATAATTAGCTTTGTTTTCACATTATTACATTATTTATATTTTTTCTATATTCAAGGAAAAAGCCATTACTTCAAGATGATCTCTTCTTATTGGAACAAGGGTTTCAGTCTCCAAAAATCAACTCGTTATTTCACAATTTTTTCCGCTAAATATTCATCCGGTACTAAGCTTTTTTTCGAAAATATTCATAGAGGCTTGATTAGAGTCTCAGGCGATGAAGTACATGAATTCTTGCAAGGCCTCATCACGAACGATATTTCCCATATCAATAATACATCTAATAGAGATAATGCAATGTTTACAATGTTTCTGAACAAACAGGGTCGTGTGTTATATGATACAATAATATATAGACAGAGAAATGAGAAAACATCATGCATCATCGAATGTGACCGCACAATTGAAGAACAACTAAAACAACATTTATTGCATTTTCGATTTCGAAAAAATATAAATATAGATATTATAACACAAGAGATGAATATTTGGGCTTGCTTCCAGGATTTCCACGATCTTCATAGAAACACGAAAAATAATTTTCAAGTTACACATCAACATGAATATTGGAAATTGGGTGCTATTATTTGTTCTGATCCCAGACTCCAACTGGGTTTAAGAATAATAACACCAAAATATTTACAAATTCCAGACTTTCAACATATAAATGATGATAGAAAGTGTGTTCTTCCAAATACTTCATATAACTACAAGAAACTTCGATATATTCATGGAATTAGTGAAGGAATAGTGGCTTATCTTGGATAATCTTACCTCACAAATGTTGGACTGTTCTAACTATGACGAACCAATATTAAATGAAAAGGACCAAATTATTGGCAAACTGAAGGGAATTCAGGATGAGTTTGGTATTGGCCTTTTGAAAATCGATTTGGCGCTGTCTTCGAAGCATCTTAAAATTGGAAGTTTGAATGCATCAACCTATCGTCCGACATGGTGGCCACAAAAAAAAAAACTAAAATATGTTTTGCTTCTATAATTGAATAGTATTTTCTATTTCTCAAATTTAGTTTAAATTTTCACACAAATTTTTGCCATGTCGAAATTACAAGTTAAGTGTTGGAATTTCCAGTTCGAAAATACTGCATTTTTATTTATTTATTTACATCGCCAAAAACTGGGTGAATATATAGTTTTGCAGGAAAATGACTCCAAGAGAAAGACAAAACATGAAAATGTCTAATGAAAGCCAACTGTCAACGGTTCAAGATAATCTAACTACACGTGTGAAAAGAGATAGACTAACTGGAGCGTTAAATATTAATGGAATAACTGCAAAAGTCATCGTTCAATTTATCAAGTAGATGATAAATTGAGGAGAAGTTTTACGTCTAATCTAACAAGTCCCTGTTGGTAGTTTTTAATTTACAATTCAGGTCGAGACCGAAAGATATAAACAAATTAATAAATTTTGTAGAACAAACATTGACATAATTTTATTTAGTTTCCATTATTATTATTCTGCACCATACAGCGTTTCTTCGCCAGAGGGTGTTTATTTGGTATAAATATTTGGTTGCATATTTACAATATTTATAATGTATTCATTATTTCTTTAGTTTCTCCAAGTTTATTTATTTATTTATTTATTTCACCGCCAAAAACTGGCTGAATAT